CACCGAAGCTTAAGAACAGTTTCTTTACCTGCACAAGAGGGTTCTTTGAATGAAAGGCCTCAATAGATTTCTGTATAGCTGAGATCTTAAGCCCACCCTTAGCTATGTTGGTGACAGTTTCTTTACCTCTACTGAGGCGATCAGCGTCCAATCGGGCAGCAAAGGAGTCACCAGCAATGAGAATGATAGACTTCTGGTGTTTTTGAGAGTCTGTGATGGGAGCTTTTGGGGATACTTTATTAGGACTGTCGGATGTAGGAGAGGGAAGAATAGGAGATGAAGGGGAAGAGGAAGGTGTGGTTAACTTTCTGAAGGAGAGACTATACCTCCAACAGATTTCATTGTCAGAAGGTGCAACTCCTGGGGCAATCCTGTGCCTCATGACTTGCTGTGCACCAGGCTTCATGATGTTCAGTGTGCCATTGGTGGCAGGAAGGGTGAAGTCTGCGTTAATCAACTCTTGGGCTGGCCTTGACCTAGAGGCCCTAGTTGTGCGTTGTTCTACTTGGGTTGTATCGAGCACAAACTCAAGTGTCCGCGGAGCCCCTATTGAGTAAGTGCAAATGGAGCTGGACTGTGATATTATTAGGTCTTCATCGTCTTTATGGAGGCTTAACTTAGCTTGCTGAGTGTCGTACCTAGTAACAAGGCAAGCATCCATGTTGTTGGTGGTGGAGGGGAGGTCATTAATAAGTCCCATCAACTTAAAGATGCTAGGGAAGTTGTTGATGGGATGTGGCTTGTTAACTATGTTACCAAAGCAGTAGTCTTCTGATGAAGGGCTTAGCCATAGGGTGTGGACTTTATTAGATTTGCCTTCAAGATTCATTGAATCTAATTCTTCTGTGATTTTCTTGAATAGATTTTCATCCATTCCAGGGAGGACTGGAACGTGCTCTACGAGCGCATGTGGGCTATACGAGACATTTTGAACAGTAGTTTCCTTCTTCGTTTTCTTTTCCTTCTTCTTTTCATCTAACCGTTCTATTTTAGAAGCAAGCTTTTCCTCTTTCAGACTGTCCAGGATACTCTGAGTAAGGAGGGTATGCATGTGTTGCTTTACTTCAAGGGATAAGTTTTGCAGTAAGGCGAGGAAGTTGGCGGGCAGTGTTGGCATCTTGTTGTGAAGTGTGGGAGGATCGGGAGGAGACTGGGTGATCCGGATAAGAGATCAACAGCAGGATGTTTCAGTGGCACCGTTGTAAACCCTAGCAATCTGGATCTGAAACAGTTAATAGGCCAGAGATTTATAGTTCAGAGTGAAAAAAAAAATTTGAATTATAATGAACAGAGGTGTTGTAAAGAACTGTATAGCAGAAAAAAGAATGCAATACTTATCTAAAGGAGAAGTAGCTAAAAGGAGTTAATAAATTTCAAACATCACTAGATCTCTAACAATAAAACTAACCTCGTACCAGACCGCAGGAGCCCTGGTAGTACAAGACTACCAGGGCAATAGGAAGAAACGATTACCACCTCCACAACCTGCCATCTAACTCAGATCCATCACACCCAGGACACCGGCAGACTTTACTCCAACGGATTACTCATCGGTAGCCATGCCTAAAATTATTTGTTATATAGTAGTGTTGAAAGTATTAAAACTAGCTTGAGATCATCTGCAAATAATTTAATCTTATTTTTAACATTGTCAGGTAAATCGTTTATATAAAGAATAAATAGCAAAGGACCCAATACTGACCCCTGGGGAACACCAGATAACACGTGTTTCACCTCAGACCATTGTCCTTCTACACAAACCCTCATGGTTCTGTCTGTCAGAAAGTCTTTTATAACATCTAAAACTTTTCCCTTGACCCCAAACCCCTCCAATTTAGATAGAAGTCTAAAGTGGGGGACTGTGTCAAAAGCTTTACTAAAATCAAAATACAAAAGATCGACAGGAGCACCTTCGTCTAAAATATCAAGAATATTATCAAATGTCTCTAAGAGATTAGAAAGACAAGATTTACCCTTCACAAATCCATGCTGATGCTTTGAAATTCGTTCTTCTAAAAATGTTAATAAATGTGCCCTCACCAACTTTTCATACACTTTGCACAAAATACAAGTTAAAGAGACAGGTCTATAATTTAAGGGATCAGATTTAACACCCTTTTTGAACAATGCTACAACAGATGCTGTCTTCCAAATGTCAGGCAGGACTCCTGTTTCTGAACACTTAACAAATAATTCAGTTACAGCTTCAACAAACTTTTCATCGTATGCTAAGGATTTCAACAACTTTGGATGAACGCCATCCGGACCAGAACTCTTAAAAACATTAAGCTTTAAAAGCTGCTTCTTGATATCAGAACTACTAATTTCCATATCATCAATAACCTCTCTGTTATAACTCTCATTTTGGGGAAGAGGGCCAGGTGGTTCACACACAAACACAGAACTAAAGGCACTAGCAAGTACCTCAGCAGACTCAGATGAACTATCTGTGCGTGTACCATCTCCTCTATCTAAAGAAACAACACTTGATTTGACTTGACGTTTATTACGCAAATACGAGTAAAAAGATTTGCAATTCTGTTTTAAATTAGATGTAATCTTCTTTTCATAATTTACTTTAGCTTTAATTTCTGCCACCTCAAAAATATGCTGCTTGCTATTTGCACAGCTAAAGTTAATATCCGAAGGATTAATATCAAATTCAGCCCATGCTTTATCTTTGTTCTTCCTCATTCTTTTAAGTGAAGTTGTACTCCATGGCAACTTGACAGGTCTGTTGTCGAGATAAACCGAAGCAGCTGGGACAGCTGCAGCAACAGACTCCAATTTACCATGTAATTCAACCCACATATCTTGAACATTATTTGTACAACTATAATCCCATTCAATATTATTCTTACTAAAGTTAAATAACTCTTCTGAGGAAATCTTACCCCAAATAGGCTTTAAAATCTTTTGTTTGGGACTTTTGTTAGTATTGGGCGAAACAACCAGTTCAACAAGTATCCCAACATGATCACTTTTGCCAAGCGGAGAAACGATCTTACAACCGTTGACAAGAGCATCATTTGTATACAAAACCTGATCAAGAAGACTCTCCTGGAGAGTATCTTTCACAAGCCGTCTTCTGGTTGTTTCGTTAGTAAAGTACCACGTCAAACCACTGTCATTAAATAAATCAATATACTTTTGTTGAATCATTAAAACCTGATTCTTACTAGAAATACCACTATTTACACTACCAGTTTCCCAAGATACATTAGGTAGGTTAAAATCTCCTATGATAATGGTTTCAAAAACATTCTTTTCACTAGATATGTTCTTGATGCAAGATAATAACATATTATTCTGTTTTAAATTCAAAGAAGTAGACCTATAAATACAACAAATACTAATCAATCCACCAGAGGTATTGACATTAATAGCTAAAGAGTCTGGTGCTTTTAAAAATGAGCTCACTAATGAAGCATTACAACTGTTTTTAATATAAATAATAGAACCTCCACCTCCACTTATGTTGCTAGTGGAATTATCGATTTTAAAATCTCTGTCTTTTCTAAACATACTAAAACCTTCAATAAAAATTTCAGCATCTAAAATATCACTATTAAAATGAGTTTCTGTAATGCAGATTACATGAATGGATTTATAAACTGATAGAATACATTTTAGTTCATCAATTTTATTAAATAGTCCATTAGCATTAGTATAAAATATATTCATGGGCTGACTACATTCTTTGTTACTGCTATTTACTTCTTCTCCACCTTCTTCTCTGTCTTTTCCTTCTCTGCTTCTTCCCGCCTCTTCTTCCTCTCTTCTCTGGCTAAAAAACGGATCTCTCGGTCTGCTCTGCAGAGATCCAGATTTATCCAGTATGATGACTCTTTCCAGCCCTTGCCATGGTTGGAATAATAGTTAACTGACTCCTCGTCAGCTGTCTGGATGATCAATGGCCGACAGGAGTCTGGCTTACCTGGATCCACTTTACCTGCACGATGGCAACTGATAAAGTCACTTTTTTCAATCTTTAGTGTCTCCTTGCAGAACTTCGAGTCCTCTTCCTGGCGTAGCTTGGAGTTAGTTTTCTTGCTCTCTGGTACATTCAAAACACACAGATTGAGCTTTCTTAAATTTCGCTCATATGCATCAGTGTGCATCTTTGACTGAACTTTACTGACAACACTTTGAGAAGCTTGCTGTAGGCTCATTTCTTCAATAACTTTCTTCTGACTATTTGCAGTAACATCTGCCCAGGTTTGGAAAGCCTGGTTCACAATTTTTGTGATTTCTTTTGGTTTTTCAGATGAATCATTAGAAGAACTGGTATGACTCACAGAATCTTCGACAATTCCTCTAATACACGGAGTAAGGGCACCAAGTTCTTCTCTAATAACATTCCGTAGGGTCTTGGTTTCTTCACTGTCTGGATTTGTGGACTGGCTTCTTGTGCCCTTGATGTGGGGAGAGATAAAGCAATTTTGGCAGCGCCAGTTAGTCAAGTGGTTACCTTCTTCCTGCGTTAATCCAGTAAGCCCAACACAGCAGTAGTGCCAGTACATGTCGCAAGTTGCACATGCCAAAGAAAACTCCTCCGCAATATATCTTCTACATTCACAGCTACGATCTTCTTCTTCTTCAATTTCTCCATTATCCGCTGTCATATCGACCTTCACTGGACTTTTCTTGACATCTCTTGATCGTGTCATATCTCCGGGTGTCATACCTCAAATTATTTGTTATATAGTAGTGTTGAAAGTATTAAAAACTGGGATCATTTCGTCCGTAAAATTTTACACAATATAGAAGCTACAATAATTTATCTATAAAATTTATATAAACAAACTTAAGAGACCTCAAAGCTCGTCTTCTGAGGAATGAGATTGAAGGATACGTCATCCAGTCCAAGGTGCTGGGCTTTTTGTCTTCCTCTGATTCCCCTGAGTGCTATGAGTGTGCTTCGTAGCAGATCAAACCTGAATCGTGTTCTGATGTGGTTTTTGACCCTAACCTTGAATCAGTGTTTGTCTCCATAACAAATGTTGGCAGGCCCCAAACAGTTGGTGTCCTATACAGACCACCTGGTGGATCTGACAAAGATGCCCTACACGAAGTTGAGAGCCTTCTTAATCAGGTTCCTGATAGGAACGTTATCCTGCTTGGAGATTTCAACTTTAATCTATTTAATAAAGGCTCTGCCAGCTTTGAAAACATCTTATATGGAAATAACTTCATCCCACTTATATCACTGGCAACGCACCATAAACCAGGCTGTGTCCCATCGCTTATTGACAATATTCTGACAAACTCCACTGACAATATTGTGTCAGCTGGACTACTGGATACCAGGGTTTCGCATCACTCTCCAATTTTCTGTATTCTCGAATGTAGCATGCCTGAAGAACCAGAACTTGACCCTTGTAAACCAAAATACGACTACTGTGAATCTAATATGACCAAACAAATTTTTGTGGGCAGGTGTGCTACAACGTAGAAAACTTTGAAATTTTTGCAAATAAGATACAACTTTTGATCAAAGAAAACTTTTTAATTGAATCTGAATCGTTCAAAAAGTCAAAAAGAAATATGATTGCAAACCCTTGATCACACCAGGGATCATTGCATCAGTGAAAAAGAAAGAATATCTTTACAAGCAGTGGAAGAGTACAATTAAGGAACCCAACCCTCTTGGAATTAGAATTAGAATTAGAATTAGAATTAGAATCAAATTTTCTTGGAGACTCTGATCTATACTTAACCTATAGTAAATTCCGTCGACAGTTAAAATACATTATCAGATCTGCCAAGAAATTGTACTATTGCAGAAAATTCTCAAAAGTCTCAGGTAATATGAAGCAAACATGGGCACTGATCAATGAACTGAGGGGAAAAACAAAAACTGGAATAAAGGCCTCGTTCAAAATAGATGGTAGTTTAGTAAAAGACAAGCGTGTCATAGAATGGACCAAAAGTATTGTAGGAAGTAAAAGATTAATAATATATTAGACTGCTAGTATGTGCATTAATGTAGGACACCCATATTATAATAAGTGAGATGTGGAGTGTGTGTATCAAAAAACATTAATAAGTACATTTTCAATCTATGTTGTTGGGATCACAATAAATTTTGTTAAATGTTGATATATGTTGCACCCTGTCACTTATGGGTGGTGTATTGATCCTTATTTAGTTTGGATAACTTAAAGAGAAACTCTAAAGAGCTCTAGAAACCAGACTACAAAACTACTACAAAACCTCTTAAAAACTACCGTTATCCATATATACAAGAAAATTTTTTCTTAACAGTATCCAAGCTTGTAACTTTGAGACCCTGGGCTGCAGAATATCGCTTGTCTCTCTTTGTTAAGTGGCAAGAATCATCAACACTTCACAAAGGTAACCTTTTTCTTTCCACGTTTAATATTAAGACGCAATGAAAACTATCGGACCATATATCGGATATAATGTTGTTCCTGGATTTTTATGGTCAATTTTTGGCATTAAAATGCTTTTTCCTTGGGCCATTTTTTATTTTTTTCTGCCAATTTGAGTGTAGGCCATTAAAGCTATTTTGAGCCATTCAAAAAGGTTTTATGTTGTATTATATTTTACGGTTTTTGCGGAATCGTGTTAAAGTTGCAGGCGTTGGTGCCAGTAAAATGGTACGGATATATATTAATTCATACCATATTTATAAATATCGTCTCGCTTTATATTTCGTTTCGCTTTGGGTCGTTCATTCAAAATCGCCTTATATATCAAACTTTTATCATTGTCTCTCGAACTATTTATCTACGACGTACCTCTCAATTTCGGTATAGATGAAGATAGGTCTCGAAAAATTAATTCCTTCAACAAAACTAAAACCCTTCGCGACAATGTTTTGTATACGTAGTAGCGATATGTGATTAGCGATATGTGAATAACTGAAACATTTAGTTGGTATCAAATGGAACTTGGCACGTTTAGTTGTTTATCAAACGAATTAGGCACGTAATTGAACGATGTTATTCTTTCTCAAGAAATTTTCCAAAATTTTGAACTCTGTTCTGCTCTGTTGACTGCTATCCTTGTCGCATGCTTTATATAGTTGTTAATGTTTAAACTCCCCAACCAACTCGTCACTTTGTGTCATACATCTATTTAAAGCTCACAAAGTTCATTATATTTGTCTCGCGTGACTGTTTAATTTAGGGACTAGTCTGCTATCGGATTGTGCATGATTTTGAATATGTCGGCCTGTATCTCAGTCACTGCTGGAGATTATTATCAAAACTGTGTGTTTTATTTGGGTTCAAAATTTGATTAAGGGTATACAATTTATGATAATTATAGGGCGAGACAGTATATATCGTAGGTACATGTTTCCGTGTCAGATTTTATGTAGTCGACACCCTTCTGTCAAATATTCCCACTTCAAAGGTTAGCTGGTTAATTTCCAGTGGAACGAAACCTGTCAGTGATCAATGTGTCACAGTGATCAATGTCCTATCAGCCAATATCCGGTTAACCGCACTAATGGATCAGCCTATCAGTGAACTTTTTGAATATGTTATATTTTTTCTGTATCGTTCATCACTTGCCCCTTTAATCAGTAAAGCATATTTGGATGTCGAGTGTCTTCAAAAGGTCATGTATGTGGTTTTGAATGTCAAGTTACAATACAGACATAAAGTTGTAAGGACGGTCTATAAACACGTTTCCAAATTGATTGATCCCGCACGGGTAACGGACTATGGTAACTGGTAAGTGGTATGACCATACCACACGTTTTAACAAATCCTGCCAGAATACTTAGTTTTGATAATGTATTAATAATTAGTTGTAGTTGGTCTCAATGCAGACAAGCAGGAGCATGATATTTCAACGGAGTAAACACTCGAATCAAGAGCGGGCAATTAGAATATTGAATGTTGGTAATTCATTATTCGTATTTGGCACCGAGGATTGTTCTTTCTTTTAACCATACCATGTAACGATTCGTTTGCCCTCGATTCTAGTCTCAAAAATATCAATATATTATGTTCAGTGTTGTACAGTCAAGTGTAATGATAGTTTGTCCCTTGGTAACAACACTACAATGTAATCCTGAGTTTATGAAGAGTCTTCCCCGCCCCACATTTCGTGCTTAATCCATTATAACAGTATAAAAACAATGTACACCACTTTGTGCCACAATAGAGTAATTAAGAGATTAAGTTGTGAGGGGTGCAATATAGTTTATGCCGTGATAATTAGGTGTTGTCAATTACACGGAAAACTCCACCAATTTGAGGAAACCCTCGTATCACGTGCTCGATATTCTGTGTAATGTTGGATTTTAAATTGTTGATCACTTGATACTGGTTTTAAGATGGGTATGTCACGGTGTGTGATCACTTAGAATTAGTCTGAGAGCGTACAATTACGTGTTAATCAACATTAGTCTGCACTATGAACAGCTGATGTGCACCATCTCGCACCATTTATTGGACGTGTTTGACACGTTAAAAAGGCTCAAGATGTTGGTAGAGAAAGCTGAATTTTGTGTGGCTGATTGCTAAATATGGGTAAAGCCATCCTAGTTTACAAAATAGGTTCCAACTTCATAGTTAACCTAGGATAAAAAAGCAGCCGTGGTCGTTAATTATAATGTTGATTGGCTATTAATGTTTATTGGCAAAGTAGTGTATTCAAGTACAAGCTATCTTCAAGAAAATTTAGGCAGAAATAGATTTTGTTTAGATTTATAATTGCTGTACAATTTAAATTTGAAATCCACAATTTGTAAAGGTGGATTCTCTTGTACAAAGACGGTGGTCACTGAAATATCAAGTACCTGTTGCCCTATTAGGTTTGTTTGCGAATTACTACTTTCCTTATGTTCCACCTTAGATTAAGACCAGAACTTTACAAATTGATCGCAACTCTAGTAGGTCGCCAACATTCTGCAATGCTACATGTGTTTGTATCCAGACTTATCGGCCTTGTTACAGGAGAAATGTATACCCGACACCTTGATCAAATCTCCGAGTTTATTAAAAGTCGACTGATACTGAAAGGCGGAATGCACGTGCCAGTGCACAGTCAATGAATTGTAAAGATTAAAATTGATTGGATACTTCTATGAAACAGTTGAGCAAGAGTACAGTAAACACACATTGTGTTTAACATATCTGTATCAAAGTGTAATCTCATTACTGTCCTTATAAGTAAAGACGCCCTACCTTTTTACTTATAAATATAGATCGTATCTGCAAAGACATTATGGTCTTATCTATCAGCTCTTGATATAATATTGTGTTCTTTCATGTGTTATCATCATTATGTGTTATCATTCTTTTTACGCATGTAGAGTGTTACTTTAGGGTATAGCAGTACTATTATACACTCATCATTTCAGCACCTTATTTCGATGTTTGACGTTCGGTCTAAATTATTAAAGGTCTATCAAGGCTACAATTATCCCATTATATTTATGCATATAGTCTATAGCTGTAAACAAACAGTCGCTGACGACTAGAATGTTAAAATATCGTTACAATTTGATATTTAAAGCAGTTTCAAAGTTTGGAAAACTGGTTTAACAACAGGCAAGTGTACTGATATTGTCTTGTTATCTAGAGATTCTACACCGCGTTATTCGTGGTCATGTTTGTATTAGAGATCTACACACCCGTTACATTTTACAAATCCACCTTGTTTCCACAATTCCATACACACACGACCACGTTGAGTACACGTTGGTTTACCTTTAAACAGGTTCTGAGTTTAACAAACGATTTTAAGCTGCACGAGCCAGTTACCGTCAGTTCGGGATTATAACCAGAGTTGTCATCTGTACTTAGTGTTGGCTTCAGTGTGGGAAAATTACAGCTGTAGCTGTTTTGGAAAGTGTTTTGATGAATGGGTGGTATTAAGGTCAACATGCACGGGGTGGATTCTTCTAATTCTTCCTACTGATTATTGTATAGTCCGGAATTATAGAATATATATGGTACGTAGAGGTATGGTAAGCTAACAGGTTAGGGATTTTGTTTTTTTAAGGGGGTCTAGGTTTTTTGTTGTTTGTTCGGCAAAAACCTATTTTTGATTTTACAGAAGTACTGGAGTTACAAAATCATTGACGGGATACTTTAAAATCGGATGAATTGTTGGTCCCGTCTGTAAAATATTGCGAGTAAATGAGTAATGCCAAGTGAACTTGCCCGCCCGCACTAACCAAAAACCGCGTAAAGGCAAATGTAAAATGTTAGGCGAATATGTGGGGAGAATGTTTAGTTTTATCAGGCGGGACTGTACACTGTATAGGATTGAACACGCCGATATCACGTGGTCTAGTCTTGGTATCTTTGACACACTGTCAGGAGCTAAATACAACTTTAAAAAGTTCGGAATACTGGGGAATGAGGCTCTGTGTTCACTGTTCCCAACTCCTTCCAGAGGCTTCTTAGACTCTCTCCTCTCAGCAGTAAATTTCTTAGTTTTTAGGCAAATTTCATTGAAAAACACTGATTCAGCCCCGCTACCTATTCTGCATGCATTAGACTTGAATGGATACATAGTAATCAGGGTCATGAGTGGAACAGTGAGTATGGTTGTGCAACTGTGGCTTAGTCCATTTTACAGTTGTATATAATAACATCGGCTACCAACGATCAATGGAGACTTCTATTTCTTTATCGCAATAAGTTTGTTACAGCTGATAAGAGTGCAACAAAATGTAAATCGATTAACGGACTGTTGTCACAGTAAAGGTAAGGAGGCAGTAGGGGTTTGTCTCGCATTTCGTGAGCTTCAATTGTTAAGAAATCGGCTCAGGAACCAATCCTACTCGAAACGATCGTCGCGTTAGACGTCAGTGTTCCGAAAGAGATTTGTGGATGATTCACCCATCGGCGTTAATAAACAGATAATAAACTCAATGCTTTGCTCACATCGAAAGTCAAAAGAATATGAGATACCGTACTATGAGCAACTTAATACATTGATAAACGCAATTGCGAGGTGTGTTCTGAGACAAGGTGTCCCCCTGGGAGTACACATGACGTTTTCACAGAGATTCTTAATTACAGACACTTTGTACTTTACCATTTTAAGTTGTATATTAAGGGATCGATTTTTTGCCCTGAACATCAAAAAATTATCGTTATCCATTTAACAACTTTACAGGGACTTCATTTGATCCTTTCAATTTGTTTACCAATAATAAAAACACGCTCGCTTAATTGATCATGAATGGCGCGGGTCAGGTTGAACAATTTGTATTGGCGTTGTTAATTTTATTGCAGTCCACGTTTCGATTACGTTATGTTACTGAAAGATCTCTTGATATTATAACTGTATTAGTTCTTCCGGCTTCATACTAGTTTTAGATTTAAACCTGTAGAATAGCTTTATTATGTCAACGTGTGGGATCTTGGGGTCATAAATATAGGCCTCCTTTGACGACCGCCGGGAAATAGCGTGCAAATATTATATACGATTTTACAGATTTCAAGTTTTTATTATACATTATTCCACTCTAAAATAAATATAAAGTAAGAAAGTATAAACAAAGTTAGACTGTGTTGACGCCAAGCAAGCCAGTGCGCTAAACTACAAGAATTTTTGAATTTTTAGATTTATACTTATTGTGTTTGATTGCAATATGAAACACTATTATTCAAGATGTTGTCACATTTTACACGTTTATATGATATGCATCTCACATGTTTAAACCACCACCAAACAGTTGGTAAAGCGGTCAAATGGGGGGAGCCAATAACCTGGAAATGGCAATAAATGTCTATTATTTACTCAAAAGTTTTTCCATTTTCTCAATAAAAATGTATGCCATTTAAGTCATTGGCTCCCCCGATCTAATTAACACCTAAACAAATCCTTTTAACGTTTCAGATAATTCAAGTGGTTTGCTACCTGCTACGACAGGGGCTCCATACTTAAATAATGGAGGGTTTCAATTAAGAGGCACTGTTTGTGGAAACTTCACATGGAGTCTTCGCTTGCTGCAAGGACTGGTCGTCCTCGAGCTTTACAAGGTTTAGAATAGTTATTAGATAACTTGATCTTGATTTGCTGATTAAGCGTTAGCCAGTTTGTGAGCATTTTAAAAAAAAAAAAAAAAAAACTAGCCTGAGTGAACTTATCTTCGCCAGCTTAATCAAGCAACCACTTTACCCTGTAATCATGCTTGCAATGACAAGCAACCAAGCCCTTTACCTTGGACAATGGACAGGGTCCGGTAGGGGGTGGACTAAACGTGTCGTGTTTTAAGTCTCTGTGTGTCCATTCTATTTCTGGAACAGTGCCAAGTTGGAGCAGTGCCAAGTTGGAACAGTGCCAAGTTGGAACAGTGCCAGGTTGGAGCAGTGCCAAGTTGGAACAGTGCCAAGTTGGAACAGTGCCAAGTTGGAACAATACCAAGTTGGAACAGTGCCAAGTTGGAACAGTACCAAGTTGGAACAGTGCCAAGTTGGAACAGTGCCAAGTTGGAACAGTGCCAAGTTGGAACAGTGCCAGGTTGGAACAGTACCAAGTTGGAACAGTGCCAGGTTGGAACAGTACCAAGTTGGAACAGTGCCAAGTTGGAACAGTGCCAGGTTGGAACAGTACCAAGTTGGAACAGTGCCAAGTTGGAACAGTGCCAAGTTGGAACAGTGCCAAGTTGGAACAGTGCCAGGTTGGAACAGTGCCAGGTTGGAACAGTACCAAGTTGGAACAGTGCCAAGTTGGAACAGTGCCAAGTTAAAACACGGTATAATGTATAATAATGGACTGATCTGTAGTCTGGGAGACAATTTTGCAATCAACACGTGATTTCAAAGAATTTATGATCTACAATTATAAGTCTCCAGACACAGTACAATTAATAAGAATCGGGACGTTCTTTTAATTCCGACAAATATCCCGATAGTGATTCCGACAACAATTCTAGAATATTCCAGAATATTCTATACTATTCTTTGATGTTATGTAATGTTCTGTAATGTTCTGTAATGTTCTGTAATGTTCTGTAATGTTCTGTAATGCTCTGTAATGTCCTGTAATGTTCTGTAATGTTCTGTAATGCTCCGTTATGCTCCGTAATGCTCTGTAATGTTCTATAATGCTCTGTAATGCTCTGTAATGTTCTGTAATGTTCTGTAATGTTCTGTAATGTTCTGTAATGTTCTGTAATGCTCTGTAATGTTCTATAATGCTCTGTAATGTTCTGTAATGTTCTGTAATGTTCTGTAATGTTCTGTAATGTTCTATAATGCTCTGTAATGCTCTGTAATGTTCTGTAATGTTCTGTAATGTTCTGTAATGTTCTGTAATGTTCTGTAATGCTCTGTAATGTTCTATAATGCTCTGTAATGCTCTGTAATGTTCTGTAATGTTCTGTAATGTTCTGTAATGCTCTGTAATGTTCTGTAATGTTCTGTAATGTTCTGTAATGTTCTGTAATGTTCTGTAATGTTCTGTAATGTTCTGTAATGCTCTGTAATGCTCTGTAATGCTCTGTAATGCTCTGTAATGTTCTGTAATGCTCTGTAATGCTCTGTAATGTTCTGTAATGTTCTGTTATGTTCTGTAATGCTCTGTAATGTTCTGTAATGTTCTGTAATGTTCTGTAATGCTCTGTAATGTTCTGTAATGCTCTGTAATGCTCTGTAATGTTCTGTAATGTTCTGTAATGCTCTGTAATGTTCTGTAATGTTCTGTAATGTTCTGTAATGTTCTGTAATGCTCTGTAATGTTCTATAATGCTCTGTAATGCTCTGTAATGTTCTGTAATGTTCTGTAATGTTCTGTAATGCTCTGTAATGTTCTGTAATGTTCTGTAATGTTCTGTAATGTTCTGTAATGTTCTGTAATGTTCTGTAATGTTCTGTAATGCTCTGTAATGTTCTGTAATGTTCTGTAATGTTCTGTTATGTTCTGTAATGCTCTGTAATGTTCTGTAATGTTCTGTAATGTTCTGTAATGTTCTGTAATGCTCTGTAATGTTCTGTAATGTTCTGTAATGTTCTGTAATGTTCTGTTATGTTCTGTAATGCTCTGTAACGCTCTGTAATGCGCTGTAATGTTCTGTAATGTTCTGTCATGCTCTGTAATGCTCTGTAATGTTCTGTAATGCTCTGTAATGCTCTGTAATGTCCTGTAATGTTCTGTAATGTTCTGTAATGCTCTGTAATGTTCTATAATGCTCTGTAATGCTCTGTAATGTTCTGTAATGTTCTGTAATGTTCTGTAATGCTCTGTAATGTTCTGTAATGTTCTGTAATGTTCTGTAATGTTCTGTAATGTTCTGTAATGTTCTGTAATGTTCTGTAATGCTCTGTAATGCTCTGTAATGCTCTGTAATGCTCTGTAATGTTCTGTAATGCTCTGTAATGTTCTGTAATGTTCTGTAATGTTCTGTAATGTTCTGTAATGCTCTGTAATGTTCTGTAATGTTCTGTAATGTTCTGTAATGTTCTGTTATGTTCTGTAATGCTCTGTAACGCTCTGTAATGCGCTGTAATGTTCTGTAATGTTCTGTCATGCTCTGTAATGCTCTGTAATGTTCTGTAATGCTCTGTAACGCTCTGTAATGCGCTGTAATGTTCTGTAATGTTCTGTCATGCTCTGTAATGCTCTGTAATGTTCTGTAATGCTCTGTAATGCTCTGTAATGTCCTGTAATGTTCTGTAATGTTCTGTAATGCTCTGTAATGTTCTATAATGCTCTGTAATGCTCTGTAATGTTCTGTAATGTTCTGTAATGTTCTGTAATGCTCTGTAATGTTCTGTAATGTTCTGTAATGTTCTGTAATGTTCTGTAATGTTCTGTAATGTTCTGTAATGTTCTGTAATGCTCTGTAATGCTCTGTAATGCTCTGTAATGCTCTGTAATGTTCTGTAATGCTCTGTAATGTTCTGTAATGTTCTGTAATGTTCTGTTATGTTCTGTAATGCTCTGTAATGTTCTGTAATGTTCTGTAATGTTCTGTAATGCTCTGTAATGTTCTGTAATGCTCTGTAATGCTCTGTAATGTTCTGTAATGTTCTGTAATGCTCTGTAATGTTCTGTAATGTTCTGTAATGTTCTGTAATGTTCTGTAATGCTCTGTAATGTTCTATAATGCTCTGTAATGCTCTGTAATGTTCTGTAATGTTCTGTAATGTTCTGTAATGCTCTGTAATGTTCTGTAATGTTCTGTAATGTTCTGTAATGTTCTGTTATGTTCTGTAATGTTCTGTAATGTTCTGTAATGCTCTGTAATGTTCTGTAATGTTCTGTAATGTTCTGTTATGTTCTGTAATGCTCTGTAATGTTCTGTAATGTTCTGTAATGTTCTGTAATGTTCTGTAATGCTCTGTAATGTTCTGTAATGTTCTGTAATGTTCTGTAATGTTCTGTTATGTTCTGTAATGCTCTGTAACGCTCTGTAATGCGCTGTAATGTTCTGTAATGTTCTGTCATGCTCTGTAATGCTCTGTAATGTTCTGTAATGCTCTGTAATGCTCTGTAATGTCCTGTAATGTTCTGTAATGTTCTGTAATGCTCTGTAATGCTCTGTAATGTTCTATAATGTTCTGTAATGTTCTGTAATGCTCTGTAACGCTCTGTAATGCGCTGTAATGCTCTGTAATGTTCTGTCATGCTCTGTAATGCTCTGTAATGTTCTGTAATGTCCTGTAATGTTCTGTAATGTTCTGTAATGTTCTGTAATGTTCTGTAATGTTCTGTAATGCTCTGTAATGCTCTGTAATGTTCTGTAATGTTCTGTAATGCTCTGTAATGCTCTGTAATGTCCTGTAATGTTCTGTAATGTTCTGTAATGCTCTGTAATGTTCTGTAATGCGCTGTAATGTTCTGTAATGTTCTGTAATGCTCTGTAATGCTCTGTAATGCTCTGTAATGTTCTATAATGTTCTGTAATGTTCTGTAATGCTCTGTAACGCTCTGTAATGCGCTGTAATGTTCTGTAATGTTCTGTCATGCTCTGTAATGCTCTGTAATGTTCTGTAATGTTCTGTAATGCTCTTTAATGCTCTGTAATGCTCTGTAATGTTCTGTAATGCTCCGTAATGTTCTGTAATGTTCTGTAATGTTCTGTAATGTCCTGTAATGTTCTGTAATGCTCTGTAATGTTCTGTAATGTTCTGTAATGTTCTGTAATGTTCTGTAATGCTCCGTAATGTTCTGTAATGCTCTGTAATGCTCTGTAATGCGCTGTAATGCTCTGTAATGTTCTGTAATGTTCTGTAATGTTCTGTAACAGTACCTTGCCGTACTGACTCTCCTCCTCTACATAGTTACTGAGCATCGTGTGGTCATGTTTAGCGTTTAGGGTTATCTCCGCCACATTAGTAGGGAAATGTACGACGCAGTCTCCTAGAAACCTGGGACAAATGGGATTAGAACGGTATTATGTGTACAGTATTGGTACTAGCATAATGGTACTGTATAATATGCTAGTACAGTATTGGTACTAGCATAATGGTATTGTATATGCTAGCACAGTATTGGTACTAGCATAATGGTATTATATGCTAGTACAGTATGGGTACTAGCATAATGGTATTTTATGCTAGTACAGTATTGGTACTAGCATAATGGTATTTTATGCTAGCACAGTATTGGTACTAGCATAATGGTATTTTATGCTAGTACAGTATTGGTACTAGCATAATGGTATTTTATGCTAGTACAGTATTGGTACTAGCATAATGGTATTTTATGCTAGTACAGTATTGGTACTAGCATAATGGTATTGTATGCTAGTACAGTATTGGTACTAGCATAATGGTATTATATGCTAGTACAGTATTGGTACTAGCATAATGGTATTATAATGGTATTATATGCTAGTACAGTATTGGTACTAGCATAATGGTATTATATGCTAGTACAGTATTGGTACTAGCATAATGGTATTATATGCTAGTACAGTATTGGTACTAGCATAATGGTATTATAATGGTATTATATGCTAGTACAGTATTGGTACTAGCATAATGGTATTATATGCTAGTACAGTATTGGTACTAGCATAATGGTATTATAATGGTGTTATATGCTAGTACAGTATTGGTACTAGCATAATGGTATTATATGCTAGTACAGTATTGGTACTAGCATAATGGTATTGTATGCTAGTACAGTATTGGTACTAGCATAATGGTATTGTATTTATGCTAGTACAGTATTGGTACTAGCATAATGGTATTGTATATGCTAGTACAGTATTGGTACTAGCATAATGGTATTATATGCTAGTACAGTATTGGTACTAGCATAATGGTATTGTATGCTAGTAGTTAGTACAGTATTGGTACTAGCATAATGGTATTGTATATGCTAGTACAGTATTGGTACTAGCATAATGGTATTGTATATGCTAGTACAGTATTGGTACTAGCATAATGGTATTGTATATGCTAGTACAGTATTGGTACTAGCATAATGGTATTATATGCTAGTACAGTATTGGTACTAGCATAATGGTATTGTATGCTAGTAAAGTATTGGTACTAGCATAATGGTATTTTATGCTAGTACAGTATTGGTACTAGCATAATGGTATTATATGCTAGCACAGTATTGGTACTAGCATAATGGTATTGTATGCTAGTACAGTATTGGTACTAGCATAATGGTATTGTATATGCTAGTACAGTATTGGTACTAGCATAATGGTATTGTATATGCTAGTACAGTATTGGTACTAGCATAATGGTATTATATGCTAGCACAGTATTGGTACTAGCATAATGGTATTATATGCTAGCACAGTATTGGTACTAGCATAATGGTATTATATGCTAGCACAGTATTGGTACTAGCATAATGGTATTATATGCTAGTACAGTATTGGTACTAGCATAATGGTATTATATGCTAGTACAGTATTGGTACTAGCATAATGGTATTATATGCTAGTACAGTATTGGTACTAGCATAATGGTATTATATGCTAGTACAGTATTGGTACTAGCATAATGGTATTATATGCTAGTACAGTATTGGTACTAGCATAATGGTATTATATGCTAGTACAGTATTGGTACTAGCATAATGGTATTATATGCTAGTACAGTATTGGTACTAGCATAATGGTATTATATGCTAGTACAGTATTGGTACTAGCATAATGGTATTGTATGCTAGTACAGTATTGGTACTAGCATAATGGTATTATATGCTAGTACAGTATTGGTACTAGCATAATGGTATTGTATGCTAGTACAGTATTGGTACTAGCATAATGGTATTATATGCTAGTACAGTATTGGTACTAGCATAATGGTATTATATGCTAGTACAGTATTGGTACTAGCATAATAGTATTGTATGCTAGTACAGTATTGGTACTAGCATAATGGTATTATATGCTAGTACAGTATTGGTAGTAGCATAATGGTATTATATGCTAGTACAGTATATATATATTTATATAAATTACAAGTTAACTCAAGTCACATAAACACTGAACCTTAGTCACAACAAACTGAACTTAAAGAAATGACGTTGCTGTCAGAATAAAAACAAGAGTTTTTACAAAAACATAGACGGAAAGTTTCAATGTGAACACTTACTTTTGGTCTGAGACGATGTGAATGACAGAAGAGTTTTTATTGAAGATAGCACTAAGTCCCTCGCATTCCTGGAACGTTAAGTTGAACTGCTTCTTTATTCCTGAAATCAGAAGAGTTGTAACATTACAGTCATAGTACTGTTGCTAGGTTACTGTTGATAGGTTACTGTTGCTGGGTACTGTTGCTAGATTACTGTTGCTAGGTACTGTTGCTAGGTTACTGTTGCTAGGTTACTGTTGCTAGGTTACTGTTGCTAGGTTACTGTTGCTGGGTTACTGTTGCTAGGTTACTGTTGCTAGGTTACTGTTGCTAGGTCACTGTTGCTAGGTCACTGTTGCTAGGTCACTGTTGCTAGGTTACTGTTGCTAGGTTACTGTTGCTGGGTTACTGTTGCTAGGATACTGTCATGTTGCTAGGTTACTGTTGCTAGGTAGTGTTGCTGGGTTACTGTTGCTAGGTTACTGTTGCTAGGTTACTGTTGCTAGGTACTGTTGCTAGGTACTGTTGCTAGGTTACTGTTGCTAGGTTACTGTTGCTAGGTTACTGTTGCTAGGTTACTGTTGCTAGGTACTGTTGCTGGGTTACTGTTGCTAGGTTACTGTTGCTAGGTTACTGTTGCTAGGTACTGTTGCTAGGTTACTGCTGCTAGGTTACTGTTGCTAGGTACTGTTGCTAGGTTACTGTTGCTAGGTTACTGCTGCTAGGTAACTGTTGCTAGGTTACTGTTGCAAGGTTACTGTTGCTAGGTTACTGTTGCTAGGTTACTGTTGCTAGGTTACTGTTGCTAGGTAGAGGGCGAGCCCACTGCCCACTGATGGTAATACTAGTGCTTATCTTCCGACCAGCAAACTTAGCTACGATTAGATTTCAAACTCGAGCAGAATAAATTAAATCAACTTAATAACACCAGAATGTGTGTCTGATCGTGTGTTCGTGTGTAATTTCCGAACGGTTATACAAAAAAAACGGTAATAGTTACGGGACTGGTTTTTTCGGTATAGTGCCGACAAAACTCTGACGAAGCCAATAAGCAAATTTTATAAAAATCGGCCGGTGGTAAGTGGTTTAATTGATGGTTTTGTACCACAAAATATGTTACATAAAATGGCTTGAGAAGAACGGCAAGAGTTACGGGGCTAGCTCTCTCTCTCTCTCTCTCTCTGCATATGTAGCGTATATATACATGGCGTATATATTACATGGTCATATGATACTATAAACTTATTAGGGGAGGGAGTGCTCAAACGGTCTGTTTGGACTGTAGAGAGAGTTCATACTTTCATACGACAATGTAATGCATGTTGACAAATATGATAGGCTGGTGTGGTGCAGGGTTAATCTCTATTGATTATTGATTAAGAATTACAATTTTTTAAGCATACTATTGGATACGTGAGGGCACTCCGAATAGAATTGCTCGCCTAATCCGGGTTTTGACTCAGCGGGTAATTACTCCTACCCTTTTTAACTGCGGCAGTGAAGTCCCGGCCGTAGGCCGGGTTACACTAGTTATAATATAAGGTCACCGCAATTTATCGAGGACCGGAATTTTTCAAATAACTCCGCAACTCAAAAGTTCTTAACTTTCGTTTGATGACGAAATTGTTGCGCGTATATAAACCCAAGTACATATTTCGAGGAGAGCTTACATATTATGAACAGTCACTAACTGGTAAACAGCAGTGATTGATCTTTAAGCAGCATCACACTGTTTTATTTGTCACAACATTTCTACACGTATAAGGTAGTTTTTAAAATTTCTTATCGGGAGAAATGTTGTGTCTTAAATGCTGCTTTACTCATTTTCAGACGCATTTATTCGGAATACAATAGTTTGTAACCACGCTTATGAATTTTACGTTCATATTTAATTATTTTGCCTTGTAAGATTTCATATTTAATTAATATTTATTTTCCTGTAATTCATTCTATTGTTAACAAACTAGGAGCCAACTGGGAGTCGATCGGACACTGATCCGGTCTGCTTTCATTTTCAATATCTTGCTCTGTCGAACTTGTTTATTGAACAATCAGGAGTCATTTATAAGATTGTTAAAAAATAAGCTGTCACAATTATATTGACAAGAATGTGAAATTTCATCTATCAACCGTATAGTAACTGTAACTGTAAGTGCCACACTGTGGTCCACACTGACACACTAGAAGTATCCCAGTTTGTTTTAGTTATCATAGGATTTGATGACTATTATCAACTAATCTTGCTATATATAAAGCGAGACGATATATGTCCGTACCATTTTACTGACACCACGGCATCAACTTTAACACGATTTTCCGCAAAAACCGTTAAAGAATTAAAAATTGGCCAAGAAATAAAAATTTTAGTGCCCAAAATTTGGACCCCCAAGTGGTGTCAAAAACGCGAATTAAATAGGTAATAATTTATTTAGTCTCTTGAGTCTTGACACCATTTTAGGGTTAGACGGGTTCCTGCTAGTGTATATAATGTATATAATGTATATAATGTATATAATGCATATAATGTATATAATGTATATAACGTATATAATGTATATAATGTATTTAGATAATGTATAACACCAGAATAATAATAACCGTGTCTGTGATTGAGACTGAAGACAAGTTCTCCTTCCACGAACTTTAATTCTATGGTAAAAGTGTCCACCGATTTCTCCAGAGAAGCCAAGTTCTTGAAAATAGACAGGCACGACTGAAATGAAAAACATTTATAAGATCACATAAAGGTTAAAAGTAGTCAGCAATGTTTTAAAACCTATGAATGTGTAATATATAAGTTCTTATTACCCACTAATTAATTAATTTATTACCCACTAATTAATTGAGTTCATGAATCCGAGATTTTGGAACAATTTTGGAACAGTGAGACAGAATTGAGACAGAATTGAGACAACTTTGGAACAGGCTTTTGGGGCAGTAGTTATGTCTGGGTTGACTTAAAATCTATCTGGTATGGTGGAGGGGTATGTTTACTAACATGTTCAGCCACTCAGAAGTGCCAAATGATCCCCTGGTTCATGAAATGAACGAAATGAACAAAAATGAACTTTACCCTAAAATCGCCTAAACTGAGTTGAAACCGATCAGAGTCTGTTGGTATTGATACCAGGAGTGTCCATGAAAAGTTTGGTGGCCCTAGCAAGCTCAGAAAAGGCTCTGGGGGCAATGTTCCATTTTGGTTTCAGAGTAGTTGGGATTCTGGAACAGAATTGAGACAACTTTGAGACAGGCTTTTGGGGCAGTAGTTATGCCTGGGTTGACTTAAAATCTATCTGGTATGGTGGAGGGGTATGTTTACTAACATGTTCAGCCACTCAGAAGTGCCAAATGATCCCCTGGTTCATGAAATGAACGAAATGAACAAAAATGAACTTTACCCTAAAATCGCCTAAACTGAGTTGAAACCGATCAGAGTCTGTTGGTATTGATACCAGGAGTGTCCATGAAAAGTTTGGTGGCCCTAGCAAGCTCAGAAAAGGCTCTGGGGGCAATGTTCCATTTTGGTTTCAGAGTAGTTGGGATTCTGGAACAGAATTGAGACAACTTTGAGACAGGCTTTTGGGGCAGTAGTTATGCCTGGGTTGACTTAAAATCTATCTGGTATGGTGGAGGGGTATGTTTACTAACATGTTCAGCCACTCAGAAGTGCCAAATGATCCCCCCTGGTTCATGAAATGAACGAAATGAACAAAAATGAACTTTACCCTAAAATCGCCTAAACTGAGTTGAAACCGATCAGAGTCTGTTGGTATTGATACCAGGAGTGTCCATGAAAAGTTTGGTGGCCCTAGCAAGCTCAGAAAAGGCTCTGGGGGCAATGTTCCATTTTGGTTTCAGAGTAGTTGGGATTCTGGAACAGAATTGAGACAACTTTGAGACAGGCTTTTGGGGCAGTAGTTATGCCTGGGTTGACTTAAAATCTATCTGGTATGGTGGAGGGGTATGTTTACTAACATGTTCAGCCACTCAGAAGTGCCAAATGATCCCCTGGTTCATGAAATGAACGAAATGAACAAAAATGAACTTTACCCTAAAATCGCCTAAACTGAGTTGAAACCGATCAGAGTCTGTTGGTATTGATACCAGGAGTGTCCATGAAAAGTTTGGTGGCCCTAGCAAGCTCAGAAAAGGCTCTGGGGGCAATGTTCCATTTTGGTTTCAGAGTAGTTGGGATTCTGGAACAGAATTGAGACAACTTTGAGACAGGCTTTTGGGGCAGTAGTTATGCCTGGGTTGACTTAAAATCTATCTGGTATGGTGGAGGGGTATGTTTACTAACATGTTCAGCCACTCAGAAGTGCCAAATGATCCCCTGGTTCATGAAATGAACGAAATGAACAAAAATGAACTTTACCCTAAAATCGCCTAAACTGAGTTGAAACCGATCAGAGTCTGTTGGTATTGATACCAGGAGTGTCCATGAAAAGTTTGGTGGCCCTAGCAAGCTCAGAAAAGGCTCTGGGGGCAATGTTCCATTTTGGTTTCAGAGTAGTTGGGATTCTGGAACAGAATTGAGACAACTTTGAGACAGGCTTTTGGGGCAGTAGTTATGCCTGGGTTGACTTAAAATCTATCTGGTATGGTGGAGGGGTATGTTTACTAACATGTTCAGCCACTCAGAAGTGCCAAATGATCCCCCCTGGTTCATGAAATGAACGAAATGAACAAAAATGAACTTTACCCTAAAATCGCCTAAACTGAGTTGAAACCGATCAGAGTCTGTTGGTATTGATACCAGGAGTGTCCATGAAAAGTTTGGTGGCCCTAGCAAGCTCAGAAAAGGCTCTGGGGGCAATGTTCCATTTTGGTTTCAGAGTAGTTGGGATTCTGGAACAGAATTGAGACAACTTTGAGACAGGCTTTTGGGGCAGTAGTTATGCCTGGGTTGACTTAAAATCTATCTGGTATGGTGGAAGGGTATGTTTACTAACATGTTCAGCCACTCAGAAGTGCCAAATGATCCCCTGGTTCATGAAATGAACGAAATGAACAAAAATGAACTTTACCCTAAAATCGCCTAAACTGAGTTGAAACCGATCAGAGTCTGTTGGTATTGATACCAGGAGTGTCCATGAAAAGTTTGGTGGCCCTAGCAAGCTCAGAAAAGGCTCTGGGGGCAATGTTCTATATTGGTTTCTGGAACAGAATTGAGATCAATCGATCTGGTATGGTGGAGGGGTAAGTGTGCAGCCCTAGCCGTAGTTATTGACGTCGAATAGAGAAGTGACATAATGAGCTAACAATTTAATATCATTCATAAACATAAATATACAAAAACACTCCAATTCAACGTCTATCACTCCTCATTCTCTTGCCCTGTGCAGGTTTTATCACTCCGAATTGATGTGAACTGCATAGGTGCCATTTGAGAGTGATGTGATCTGAGCCCTTCTGCAAATGTGAACTGCATAGGTGATCTATGCCCTTCTGCAAGTGATGTGAACTGCGTAGGTGCAATTAGCTTGTTGTTTGCGCCACCGGACGAAGGGGTTTATAATTATTAGATGTCGATGCGCTTTCTGTCCAGGCAGTACAGAAAGCGCTAGTAGATGAACATCGGCCATCATCAATACCACATGCCATAAGAACACGAACTTCGGCCCTCGTTAATACCACATTCCATAAGAACACGCCCATCAGGCCTCTCTTTGACTATTTCCAGCAGTACAGTTACCCTAGTAGATGAACATAAGCCCTCATTTATACCACGTGCCATAATACGAACATAGGCCCTCGTTAATACCACATGCCATAATAACACGAACATCGGCCCTCGTTAATACCACATTCCATAAGAACACGAACAACGGCCCTAATTAATACCACATGATCTGTTCATGACGTGAACTGTTCGATAAATACCACATGCCATTAGAACACGAACAACAGCCCTAATTAATACCACATGATCTGTTCATGACGTGAGCTACGTTCGATGAAAACCACATGCCATAATAACACGAACATCGGCCCTCGTTAATACCACATTCCATAAGAACACGAACAACGGCCCTAGTTAATACCACACGATCTGTTTGAATGACGTGAACTGTACAATTACAAGATCCGATCAGAGAATGATCACGTGCATGATGCTTACTTGAGCAGCATCAGCTTGTTATCCTTGTCACCGGACGAAGGGGTATAAAGGATATCACGACGAGGATCATTCATCTTACCCACCATCTTTACAGCTTTCACTACAACATCTCAGACAGTTACAACACGAAAGCACCTACCCCTTATTCCTTAGTCAGGAACGTAGTTTACTACTACTTCTTCGACCCTTCTTCCTTGCTCGGAAACGTAGCTTTCTGCTACTTTCTGTTTGACAACACACCCTACATACCATCCTCCTTAGGTCGGTAACGTATATCTCTGCTCCCTGTCCTCCATCACTTGTCGGATCGATGGATCGACAGCTCATCACATCTTACATTGACCTTATTCGTGATTCACATAGCTTAGGTTCCGTATTTGGCATTTATTTCCATGACATTAAGGACGAATTACCTCCTCTCGCATATGATTATTCTGATGACCTCACAGTATGTTCCTCTGTAGTTCTTAGGCTAGAATGTGGAAATTATGTATTCGTATCTGACGCTAAAGTTAGCCCGAGGGACCCCTCTGTAAGATTATTCTGTGGCTCAAATGTTCAAATGATTTATCCTCTGTTAACTGAATATAAGACATTCTTTAGACATTTCTTTCCAGCGAAACATACGTTAGAAGTTTACGAAGGTTTTAATCACAGTAGTCTTGATAAGGATGGTTCTATTTATTCTCTGTTGTCGTTATATAGTTGTATTATCACTGATAGAGCCATCAAGTTTAACCTTCTTGAGTCCCAAAATCTCCACAATGAAATCGTTTCGAGTTTTAGACGTTCAGTAGATTCGAATCAATTGTTGAAATTTTTACAGACAATATTTCTTCCGGTAGATAAGATTAGGCCAGATGTATTGTATTCTGTCATAATTTTCACAACAGCAGAAATGTTGGATTTAGAAAAATCCAAGGATGCAGCAGCTCGTGAGGCTTTCAAGAAGAAGCTTCAGACTCAGTCAGCTAAGCAGCAAGCTGAACCGTCGTTGACAGATTCCGACGATGATTTTGAGCAACCACCCAAGTATAGATGCTCTGATCAGGCTGGCCCGAAACAGTTCGATGAAACCTCTGAACTTCCAAAGTTCTCTAGTTTTAAGAGAGCAGATCCAGCTGTTTCGAAGAGCCGTCTAGATTCGATTAAGAAACTAGCCTCGATTTCGGTGAATGACTTGCCTTCTGTGATTAACTCGACTTCAGTGATTGATCCTGGTCAATGCTCAGTTCAGATTTCTGCTGGGGTTGGTGGGGAACAGTCAGTCGGTCATGATCAGTCTTCGAGTTCTTCCACTGATGTTCGGGATCAACCTGTTGCTTCTCCTCCTGACGAGCTAGATCAGGACCTATCCACGAATCATCCCTTTGGTTCTGTGCAACATATAGAAAACGTTCTTAAAACCGATGATGTTGATTCTTTGAAGTCTTACAAACGTGAAATGACTTGTAGAAATTTATCTTGTATTAGAGTGAAAACGACTCGTGTACTTCATTTTCATTGCTTGTTGTGTAAGTCGTACTCATACCGTGATTTTAAGAGAGTAGTTACGCATATGTT